AGTGCCTGTCAACCTTACCTCCTAAAAATTAGGAGGAAAATCATCCTAAAACTACGTCATTTCAATAAAATTTTATTAAGAAAGACTAAACTACCCTATTTTTAAAGCATGCATTAAGGTGGTTTTCGTTCTTTTTCCTCCTAATTTTTTGAAGGTAAGGCGGACAAGCACTAACTCCATATATATATATATATATATATTATAAGATTATTTAAAGTTTTAGACTTTTTGTGTTATTGAAAGATAAAATAAAAAAGTTATTGATCATTTTGGATATTTAACCTATTAGAGTTAATTGTGTCAATAACTAATTTAACAAACCTAACAATTTCCATCCAATTAGGATTTTATTCAAAAATTTTGATGACTTAAGGACCTTATTTGAATGTATTAAAACTTTAAGATCTCAATTGCAAATTTAATGAAATTTTGAAACCTTATATAATACTTAGGTTAAATGCTAATTTTGGTCCCTCAACTTTAACAGTTTGCATAATTTTCATTCTTTAACCTTTTGTTTTACACCTTTTGATCCCTTAACTATGAAAAATACACTTTTTTAGTTTTTCGTAAGCTAATTCGTTAATTTATCTAAATTTGCACATTTTTAGTACCTCAACTTTAAATTTAATGGATTAACTAATTAAAGGACTAAAAAAGTGCATTTTTTATAGTTAAGAGACTAAAAAAGTGCATTAAAAAGTTGAAAGATGAAAATTGTGTAAAATCTTAAGTTAAGGGATCAGAATTGACATTTAACCTAATACTTAAGTCAAAAAAGAAAAGTTGTTGGGTCTAAAAATTTATTCTAATGTTTAAGAAGTGTTGCAAATATGGATTTTTTTGATTTAATACAATTAAGAAATAAAGAACGGAGATTGTTAAAATTTAAATTTAAAATTTTTAAATTTTACTACTCCTCTCAAAAAAAAGTTATGGTCATTGGACCACAACAGTGGTTGGCATTGCAAAATTGGATTGGGTTGATGCATTGAGCCTCAAAACATCTCATCCTGTTAAAAAATACGTTGCAAAAGCCCTAGGTAGCTAGCTGTGTAGGCAAAGTCGCCAACCAGCACCTAGAGCCTAAGCGTTATCGAGGTGTGCTTTTTGCAATCGTGCTTTTACAATATTTGATTATAAGCCATACTAAAATTTTTCTGCCAGAAAAACTAGAAATTTACGAGACAGCAAATGGCTTTTAAGGAAGTTAATTACTTAAAGGCTCTGCAAAACCATGCTCTCAATGATGTCTGTTATGTTTGCTGATGTCTCCAAATTTAAATAAACAAAACTTTTAATTATATAATTATTGAACTTAGGTGGAAAATGAATTAGCAATAAAAAAGCAATTTGTAAAGAAGAATTTGAACTCTTAGAAGTTCGAAATCTGGAACGAAAATACATTGATCCACGAAGTATTTATTCCAACTAGAAAATATATAGACTAGAGTCGTATATATATATATATTTGTTTATGAATTAAAAGTTTTATTATAATAAAAAATAGAAGTAATACTCCACTCAAAGTCTCAATAACACATTACCAGAAAGCACCAACAATCCAAGCCAAATCAAAACATAGCTAAAAAACAAAAAATACACTTAACTATGACTATCCGTTTCTGCTTCTTAGATTCAATCGGGTCGCTGTAGTGGCCGCTCAGTAGTGCAGCACAGATGGAATGATAGGAAAATCAGCGGAAAAGCAAGTTTTTCTATCAAAGATGTTTGGCCTAGGAGTTAAAGCAAGATTCTCAAAAAGAAGAGGAAAATTAAACCTCAAAGCGCCCGACATAAGAATACCAGCAAACACAATTAGTGGAATGACTTCCTTCTGTTGACCTCGTAGCACGTAAAGAGTCGCACAAAATGCTACTGTCATTGTTACAATAGAGACGAAGAGAAAGTCAAGACCAATAATCAACTTCATGGGCAAGGATATAAGAAAATCTTCATAAGTGTAACGTGAAGTGTGAATACTCAAAAACATCAACACTGAACCGGCTGCACTGAAAAGGGAAATTGCATCTGATATTATGAATACCATAAACGGTGTAACCGTAAAAGATGCTGCCGGTGCCGTTGTGTTCAAAAATATGGGGAAGCCTGTATTTTGGTCGTTCCCACCTGGAACAGTGAAAGCCGCAGCAAACATGATAGTGATAATAAGAGCACCTACGACTGTTAAAGATTCCGCAGTTTTCTTCATCCATCCTTCAGCTTCTTTTAACAAGTTCTTGTGTTCTTTAACAAACACTTGGTAAGGAGTTTCACCATCTTTATTTGTCTGTTCGTTGTAGAATCGTGGAACAATTGCTTCCACCGACTGCATTCGTTAAGTGAGAAAATAATAATAAATCAAAATTTATGAAATCAGATCATCTAAGATAAAATATGATAAAAATTTCATTTTATAAAAAATTAAAAAATCAATAGGGTTAGTTATTTCAATTGAACTATCTTTTTCAATTTTCTAAGAATGATATGTTATTTTAGTAAAATAATTTGATAATTGCATAGAATACGAAACAAGAAATTACGAGTTAATTAGGGGGAAAAAAAAAAAAAGAAAAGAAAGATAAAAACTAAACAATGATTACCTTAAACCAGTGTAATTCACTTTGTAACTGTAAAGCTGCACCAGTGATGTGATCTAGTTGAAACTGAGGAGCCAACTTTGCCACTAGATGTGAGTTATTGTTTCCATCTTCATCAGTGTCATAAAATTTGTCATAAAATTTATCTGCCCTATGTTCATAAAGAAATTTTGCCACTTCCTCTTGACGATGTGCTATAGCATATGCAAACATGTTTCTTGAATCTTCAGGATCAGTGCCGGTCCACGATATGTCTTCATTAGCTTTTGCAATTTCAATCGCAATCTCTGGGATTCCATTCTTAATGGCCAGAAAGATAGCTTCCACTGCTCTATTTTGCACAAATTGGTTGTGATCTAAATGTCCCAATCTTTGACATACGAAACTTACAACCTCACCAGCTAGCATACACATCTTTCGACTTTAGATCTGATAAATAAATATATATATATATATATATATTAGTAAATAAAGTTTTTTTATTAAAAAGTTATAAGTATTATATTAATATAAAAATTAGCATGTATAATTGACATAAATAGAATTTTTAATTTATAATTCTTGATATTTTAGTAATTATTATTAATAAATATATATATCTATAATTATTTACAACTTAATCATTATTCTTTTAGTCTTAGAACAATGGAGGAAAGAATAATCAATTAGCGGAGTGTCATTTTGAATATAATATAATATATATTTTTGTTAACCATATTATATAATTGGACCCTGATTGGTGCACACCCGGATCAACACCCGGGTGTGCACCCTCATATAAAAAAAAAAAATTGGACCAGGTGGTAATGGGTATTTTTTTTTTTTCAATGGGGAGTGTGCACACCCGGGTGTTGACCCGGGTGTGGACGCATCATTTCCCTATATAATTATAATAGAAATCGAATTGCATATTTGGATAAGTCGTTTTCAACTTTAATAAAATATAGAAGCAGATGTTAGATTATTAACAATTAGTAAAAATTTGATATAATTAAAGTAATGTTAAGCAATTATATTTATTATGCTCACCAAGAAATTTGAAAATGTATTAATTTAATTTAATTGAGTTTAAACTCTCTAAATGAATTTTTTTAAGAGGACTATTGGATTTTGGATTTTAAAGAGATTTTAAAAGCTGATTTGGTATTTATTCAGGATTTATTGAAAATTTTAATAATTTTTATAGTATAATAAAAAGTAATTGAATTTAAATTTAAACTGTTATATAATTATAGTTTTCGAACCAATTTGGAATTGAAGTTATTGAATCAATTAAATTGAAGTATAGGAAGGGAAGTTATTGGGTTCTTTTTTTTTTTGCTAAATTAATTTGTGGAATCAAATTGGGACCTTGATAATTAAAATTAAAATTTATAAGTATTTATTGATGATTTTAAAAGACCAATTGGATATTTATTTGATATTTAGAAGTATTTTAAAGAAAAATAATTGATACACCCTTTGGTTCAGTCATTAAAATTTACTTTTGAAAATTTTTCCGCCTTAAATTCAAATTTGAAAATATTAATTTCTTAATGAATAAATCAAAGTGTATTGTGCAGTGTATTAAACTAGAGGATATACTAATCATTGTCCTATTTTAAAAGAGTTAATGAGTATTCATTTGAGATTGGTTGAAGATTTTTAACAATTTTTATAATATAATAAGATACTAAAATATAATTGAGTTTGAATTTTAAAAAGTTCATTGAGTATTTATTTGATATTGTTAAAGACTTGTTGGGTATTTGTTTAGTATTTATTGAAGATTTTAAAAGGTTTATTAAATATTTATTCAAGATTTATTGATATAAAATAATAAAATATAATATAATTTGAATTTTAGAAAGCCATTGGGTACTTATTTATTTGGTATTTAATCATTAAGTATTTATTT